TCTAGTTTAGATTATCAAGGCCTACCATGCCTCTCACTTTTCCGATGCGGGGATGGAGAGGTCACAGCAATGTGATGGACGGAGCGAATGTGTGACGTGCACAAGCAGACAGAATGCACCACAGGGTGTGGTGGGGTGGGGTAAAACACAGGGGGTGAGTTAGCCCAGAGCCTTTCCTTTCTGATCGCCAACATCGAGCTGTCAGTCCACATCGCTAGATCTAGCGCTAGAGAAAGAAACCTGATTCGATTTTTGATCAAGTAAGACCTAGAGGTCATGTTGAAACAAAATGTCATCAGGGGAGATAGCCAAAGGAAATAAACAGAACACCAAACTCATAGATTAGGCCTACTTTACAGTTTCCCTTGAATTTATTACTGGATCCCTTACAGCGAGAATCCTGCTATAACGGACATTTTGCTCCGGTCCCCTCCCTCTCGTTATAACAGGATTCCACTGTATAAATATGCGTAACACCCATCATATTTTTTAATCAGTTGAGAAACCCCCTTTATCAAGAAGCTTGCATAATTTAACAAGACAGTAAGGACGATTGCCAGCTGAGCTGGTTTGGAAATTAACATTTCAAAAAATATAAAAAGAATTTAGTAGAAATTCCCATTAGGCATATTCCTCAAGAATCAGAGACTGAAACTACAATGTACTTAAAAAATGAAAATGGCAGTCGAACCTACTCTAACCACCGCATGTCCCAGACAATCATCGGTACTAACCCCACTTCTTTCTCCCCTACATTGCCATTTTTTTTTTTTTTACCAAGAGAACCATCTGTGTAAGATGACCACTGTCAAACTTGTCCAAGACAACCACCCACTGTTAGGGAGAAAGGTCATCTAAGACCGGTTGTCCTTTTGGAGGGCACCTTCATTATTTAGTATGAGTTTTAGTAAGGTTTTACGGAGCTCGAGACTTCATAAAGTCATAATATGAGCGTTAAGTGGCGGATACCAACAGAGAAGTCCAAACAGGGTCGGGCCTACTCTGCTCACCTCTCTAGCCTCAACAGCGCAAAGTCTGCTTCGACTATCAAGGCACCCCGGAAATAGCAGTTCACAAGAGAGCCCCAACCCAAGGATTGAAAAAAGAATAATGAAAAGAAAGGACAGAGTGAGATTTCACTGTTTCATGCAACACAACATAAATTTCAATCTGGCGACGTGAACTAACAACAGTCAATAATAAATCCACTTGAAACACATGCGTCACATCATTGGGACTTTTAATCATAATTGTGAATGCAATGATATTAGCCCATCATGATAAATGACTAAAATCTGCTCTAATGGCAGTCATAGGCCTATATTAAAGCCAATATCACTTCTGTAAAAACGACCACTTCCCAATTCCCCCCCCAGAGTTTTAGTTTAAAAAAATATTATGACACCACTGTTCGAGACATGCGTCTGACTCGTCTGACTGAGACAACTGCTTTTCTCCTTGGCAATAGGCCATTATAATAGACGGCATCTAGGAGAATTTCGACGGCAGGCCTATTACCTCTCTAGATTTACTAAGATCATAAGAAGACAGCGGAAGCAAAAAATTCAATGCGAATGAGTCGCAGAAGTGCAGGTAGAGCACTTTTAAAATTACATACAACCACCACTGCCGTAGGGGTGTAGAAAAACTATCCCAATAAGATAAAAATCAAAATTGTCCAGTGAGACTAAGACAGCACAAAATATAGTATAGCATTTGCATGGTCATGATATTCACGAACAAAATGATACCGCCTATCCTATTTTACTAGTTTTACACTACACATCTATATTATTATAATAAAAATTATGAAGTATCTATTCGGACTTGAGTCTAAATAGACAAAAATTATATTGGGACTCTGAATTCAATCCAGCATGACGTCCATTCCGACTTCAGACCCTTGTTCCTAAATATTTCCTGTATTTATGAAATTTTTTTCGAATATAATGAGACAATCAAGACGTCAGCTTGAATATCCAGTTACTAAATCTATCTACACTGACCCTCCCTGTATCATTTAGTATGAACAGAATATCCAAGTTGAGTTGACCTTGACGGGGGCCAAGTTAATTATGTCAACCAATGAGACTCTGCATAGCGGTCGATCACACACTGTCGGCTTGCTGGGGGAAGAGGTGTAGGGAAGAGGCCACAGCTGTCGGTTTTGTGCGATGTGATTAAAAGAGAAATTAATTACAGAAAAAATATAACACACAACAAAATGTAATTAAACATGTGGAAAGACATTATGGTGGTGGAAGTGATGATGACGCTGTAGTGGTGGTGGAAACACCCTGAGTTGTTGGTTACCGTGTACTCAGACACTGCCATTGGACAATGAGAGGGCGGTCTTTTGACTTATGACACAATTACACAATCCTAGTAGGTAATTCTAGTTCTAATTCTGGTTTTACGCAAATCCCCCAACAACAGTTATGTAACCCCCTTACACTCACAAAGCTCACTTAGAAGCAGAGTCCAAATAAATAAAACATTTTTTTCGGACCCGAGTCTGAATAGACAAAACCCATATATATTCGGACTCTATATTCGGACTCGAGTCCGAATGGATAAAAAAATCTAATCGGACTCGAGTCCGAATAGAGCTGGCCATGAAATTAATAATGACCTACTATAATCTCTGAAAAAAAACAACAAACAGGCAGATTCTAAGCCTATTAATACTGTTAAATTGCTATTGTAGGAGACGGAAAACCTTTCATGTTATTGGTTATTTTGACAGAAGAGTCAGATGGACATATCTACAAATTACACCAGCAAGACTCTTTTTTTTCTTCACTTTTTCCCTCAAGTTTTAGGACTGGGCAGGCAAGTGTGATATAACTTACATTTTATGGTATTTTTAAATTTTCTCTCACGTCTCACACTAATCTACCTGTTGTCCAGTTTCTACTAAATATTGATGCGCTGAAAACGAGAATATCAACTTCAGTTCCACCGAAAAATTAATGGTTTTTGAAATATTGGATTTTTTAAAATCGAGATGGACGTGTTTCGGACAAAATGGAGGGATTCTAGGGGTGCAAAAGAAAATGTGTGGGGTTACAGGGGCCCGCTGTTTTAACCCATAATTTGAGATTTTACAGTTAGATTTGAAATTTTCTTGAAAACAATTATTTGCAACAGTTTTAATGGCTTTATGAGTGATATCTGCTGCAAAGAGTAGGCCCCTACTCCAGTTTGACCCCTGAAGCAGTGCATCTGTGTGCGGGAGTGAAAGTAAAAAATTACCATTTTTACAGGCATGCAGCTAAACGTAGAACGATGCACTTAACTGATTGGCAGCTAATTTTAGTAATTATGTCATGTCATCAAATAAGTGTCATCACATCCTGGGTTACCCACAGACTATTTTATGAAGGCTGTGGAGACAAAGATTCTCTACGATCTTTGGTGGAGATACCGTGTGGAACGACATGTTGGGTCAGTGGCTGGACGTATTTTAAATCCATATCGATGTGTTTCGCACGTTTAACTAACTGCAGCCCGTCAGCCATGCTCTGATTGGTTCCAAGGTTTCCAGTAGATCTAAGTTAATAACATTTAGGAATTCAGGTACTTGGACATGATGGAAGATCGCTTAGATCGTTGATGCTCAGAACAGTAAGAACGCTGATGCTTGAAATTGAAACAGGTAAATGCAAAGACAATAAAGAGCGCGAAAATAGCCGAAAGACGGAAGATTTACCCCCCCTTACAAGAGATAGGCAGCAGCATCATCGGAGCACCGCATCAATTCAATTTGCCGGTATTCCTGGAAAAACATCGCACAAAAGCGTCGTACCATCAAAGATTGTGTAGTTGGTGCCATGCAGTTCGGTTTTAGCATGTAGCCACATAATTGGAGGGGTATCCCGGTCTGACGTTACAACTTTGTTTTGGTCAATTTGATCATTCACACCGATAGACAGTATTCAGAAAGAGACAGAGAGAGAGAGGGGAGGAGTACATCTTGCGAGAACTTTCGGGCAAAACAAAATGGTGAACCCCTAGTTCGGCTCGATTCGAAAAGTGAAATTTGAAATAGCCATAGCATCTTTGTAGACGATCAAATTAGCTTACTTTTGTGCAATAACGTCATTTTATTTTTTCTTTGCTTTTTTGTCAATTTGATTATCCACATCGATAGACAGTATTCCGAAATTAGGAAAAACAGAGAGGTCTTGTTTCACACCGGGTGAGAATAGCCAACGCTCCGGGGTGAGAGGTTGATCGTATTTTTATTCTCACCCCGGGTGAGGATAGCCGAGCTTCCTTTTCATAGCCTCAGGCATGTTTCGCTTTGGTCCCTAACCCTAACCCTGAAAAACGCACATCGGAATCAAATGAGGGAATCTTAACAATCGCTGTGGATTTTTATATTTTTGTAGGCTAAGTTGGTGACAACAAGACAAAAAAACAACAACACAACAACAGCAACAAAAGAAGTAGAGAGTAGAAGTAGGCCATTCATCATTTAAATCATGGTATAGATCTAGATATCTAGATCTAGATCTAGAATCTGGATCTAGATCTAGATCTAGATCTAGATCTAGATCTATAATCTATATAATATGGGCCTATATAATATTCTCATAGAATATAAAGATATATCATATATATCTATCTACTTTAGATCTAGATTCTAGATCTAGATCTAGATCTAGATCTAGATCTAGATTGTCTAGATCTAGATCTAGATCTAGCTAGATAGATTCTAGACATAGAATCTAGATTAGATCTCGATCTCGATCTAGATATATTATAGACTATTATTGAACTAGATCTAGATCTAGATCTAGATTCTAGATCTAGATCTAGATCTAGATCTAGATCTAGATAGATATAGATCTAGAAATCTAGTAGACTATAAATTGATATTGTCACGCAAACGCAATTTGTGTGTTGAATGCACCACGGACCAGTCACAGGCACAGCGTTTAAACAGCACACTGAATCCTGAACCCGTTATCTGTGAGCCTGTTAATTTTCCTTACCTGTCACAGTGCAGGCGTTCTTGAAGTGTACTGTTACCGGCCCTTAGCAATGGACACTGGACACTGGGCAAACAGCCAGCGGCTGGCTTTGTTCTCTCTATTGGATGGAGCGACGGAACACTTAGCGGAAGAAGGAGAAGACCAGGGGTAGCTTTGTTGTGATGATGTCATCACGTAAACAATCTCTGAGCATCCCCAGATTTTTCTTTGGCGCATGTCATGTGCTGTCTGTGTATTGTGGGATAGATAGATAGATAGATAGATAGATAGATAGATAGATAGATAGAGAGATAGAGAGATAGAGAGATAGAGAGATAGAGAGATAGAGAGATAGATATATATATATAGATGGATAGATAGATACATAGATAATGTAAGGTAATCTACTTGTTCTCACGGTTCTACAAAGAGGGGCGCTCCAGTCATGCTTCACGGATCAAGTTTCTCTTTAATGAAGACTCTGTTGTTTTTTGGTGGGGGGTTTTCCTATACCAGGATTCGTGTAATAAACCTTTAGTTTTCCTAAATTATAATACAATGTTGGGGATTGCCCAAGCATCCTTACAATTTTGGTTGTGCTTTTTTGTGATCTAACAAGCGGGGGGAAAATGCTTAACTTCTATCTAGTGAAGACTTGAAAAACTCTGTCATCCAAAACAGCTGGGTTATGCTGCTATAAGCTACCAGTTTGGTCCAGCATTCACTCAACATCAAGCACGATTTCAAGTCAATAATAAAAAAATTTGTTTAAGTAAAAAAGAGAAGTACATTAGAACAATAATAACGGTATTGAAGAGAAAGAGCATAAGAGTCAGACGGAAACAACGGATAGAAAAGAAAGAAGAACCTATGGACCGGACCTACTTGTGGTGCCCCGCAACCACCTTCAAGAATCTTCATAAATCATATCGGGTACAAAACTCCTTGGGTACAATGCACATTTACCGTTTTAAGTTGAATGCCAACAAGCACATCAACAATTATAGACAATATGCTGTTATTTAGAGCACAGAAAAACATATCGAAAAAAAACCCAACAACAAATAAACAACAAGGAACAAAAACAAAACGAAACGAAACGAAACAAACAAGCAAACAAACAAACAAACAAACAAACGAAAAAACAAAACCCCGCAGAAAAAGCAATTAAAGTTGGTACCTGCCAATATCGACTTCAAACCACAAACCAATACCGTACTGAAATGCAAGTAAGTAGAAAAATAAATAGGACCAGTCTAAACCTCCATTTAGTCTAACTCTCTTTGATTCTTCACATTTTATTGTGGATCAAGTGATAAGCTGAAAGGGTTAATATATTTCTTCCACAAGAATGGTAACGGGACGCAATGAAGGAACCTATTGTAATTTTTTTTTTCTTTCCTTTATTCCTTTCGGTTTTCTGAGTACCGGTAATTCAAGGACCTTACAACCCTGCGGTAATGCTAGATCTAAAGTAACCCATATACAAAAAATTATCAGTCAATCAATCAATCCACCAACCAACCAACCAACCAACCAACCAACCAACCAACCAACCAACCAACCAACCAACCAACCAATCAACCAACCAACCAACCAACCAACCAACCAACCAACCAACCAATCAATCAATCAATCAATCAATCAATCAATCAATCAATCAATCAATCAACCAATCAATCAATCAATCAACCAACTTTGATTTTGGTGATTTCACAATGATAGAGTGAATGATGCCATCCTCAGTCATAATTTGTCACACAGAGATACGGACACGGTAACACGACATCCAGCAACATGCTTGGTTTTATTCGAAAAACCACGAGCATTGATTTGTATTCAAGTCGTCACACAAATTTGGATTAATTTTCATGGTCTGTTGCCTTTCGGGGGTGGGGTGTGTGCAGGGTCATTTTGATAGAAAGAGAGAGACAGAGGGGGGG